TCGAATTTTCACCCGATATCTGCTCGCGAGTCACATTTGTCAACTTTACCATGACACGTAGCAGATATCGGGTGAAAATTCGACCGAAGGATCCCGCGTAGAGAGAAACATAGTGAACGATGGTGAAAAGTCGATATCTTGACTCCCTAAGCGGATAAGAACTCGACCTCCAGTCCGTCGAATCTCTTTGTTCAGTACAGCGTTTAGAACAGGGTCCAGGTGTTCGACGTCTTGGATTAGAATCGGGTTTCCAAACCGAAGGGCGCTCTCTAGGTTCTTTAAAAACGCCTCATCCAAAAAGCTAGTGACTGTAATCTTGCGATCCTTGTATTCATTTAGTAAGAATGTGGTGGCTTGGCCGGTGGGATCGATGATGAGAGGATAACGATTGAAACGCTTCAACATAATGGCGTTTTCAGTGCAGAGGGTATCAGAAGGGAGGGCCTTTGACTGCCAACTCAAGCGATCATCTGCTGTAGAGAGGTATTCTGGGAAGGAGAGCTCTGGTTTGAACTTGATGCCGGCCTCTGTCAAGTGACCACTCCATTCTGACCACATAACTTCGCGGTAATGTTGATCAAAGAAACCACCATAGGCAAGGAAGGCAGCAGAAATGAGACAGTCCCCGACAATGGTGCTCATTTCAACATCGAATGTTCGGCTACTTGCCTCCCATCGAGTTCTTTCGGAAGCGAGACTTCCTAACAGGGTCATACTGCGGTTCACCTTGCTCTCCACTCTTTCCATCTCTGACTTGATAGCTTGAGTTTCGCTGATCAGCAAGGCGTATTCACCCTTATATTGCTCGATACTCGTCTCGAGCTCCCTAATCATGTCTATAATGGTAGTTGCCTTTTGCTTGGTGCTCTCAGCTTGCCTTTCCAGCGACTGCACCTCATTTTGAAGGGGCTCGATCTTGTCCAATATTTCTGAGAACCGAACCTGTGCCATCACCCATTCTACCAACGGACCGCATGCTTTGCTGGCGCGGAAAACAGTTTCGTAATTATAGGAGCTACGGTTGAGGAATTCCTTATTCATCTGGTCTCGCAGTGCTGGAGTCATACTCTTCGTGGTATCGAAGTTGACGATTCGGGGTATAAAGTCGTCTCTTCTTAATATCCCTTGTACTGTTTTCCACGAGTCGATCTTGTGTCCTAGGAGAGTACAAACGGATTCCATGGCCAGTTTGACGGCTTCGGGTGGGTTGGCCATGGATCGAACTTCTACTAGATGTTGTCGCTTGATACCATTTACCGCTTGCCTTGCCTTTTCGACGGCCGGTTGTGCTTCTGCAAGGTCTTGAGTGACCACAATTCGTCGTTCCTCGATGCTCTTTTCTTGTTCTACAAGTGCGGCTTGGATTTGGATAGAAGCAGCCTTTTTATCTTCGGCCTCCTTCTGGTCTGCTACCATCTGTTTGAGTTTGGCATTGGCTTGTGCATCCTTTTCTGCAAGTTGTGTTCGTTTGATAGCCAGACTCTTCCTCAGCTCCTCGACTTGGGTCACAGTATCACGTAGCTTATCCAGTCCTACATGCAAGTGACGCTGTTGCTCTTCGAGCTCATCGCGCTTTTCGCCATATAAGCGGACATAGTGAGAAATGCTAGGGATGTGTTAGGAACTATCTCAACATTTTTGAGGAACTCACAAGTCAAGGTAATGCCTTGGCGTAACGTAATTATACCGGCCTTGCCTCTTACTAATGCGAGCATTTATATTGTAGAGTGTTTGATGAACATGAACGAACGCGTTGACGACGGCATTTCGATGAGTCGGTGGGAGAGACAACTGGCGATATGCCACAGGGAATATGAGAGGAGGGGTGTATGAAGGGAGGTCCAGGTCCAATGTGTGTGTAAGCTCGAGCCCTACTTGGAAGAAGGCTTGGTCTGGCCAGTCACCGAACCAGTCCAATACGCAACGGTTGAAAAGAGCCGGGGAAGTGGCTGCGCGGGAGGCAAGTCCGTTTTCTGGCGGGTTCATAGTGAAGACAACGTGTAGATTCTTGGCAACTTGCTGTGTAAACCATCTATATAACTCCTCGTGAGAATCCAACATGAGGCCATCCCGCTGAGAGCCTTCTTTACAGGCAGTCATTAGCGCCGAGTGTTCGTCACCTTCGAAGAGACCCGGGACTTCGGCGTTAGCTAACAATGTGTTCATCCTCTCCAAGAAGCCAGAGTCAAGGACATTGGACTCGTCCATAATAAAGCATATCTTCTCTCCAGCGACTGCACCTCATTTTGAAGGGGCTCGATCTTGTCCAATATTTCTGAGAACCGAACCTGTGCCATCACCCA